AAGCAAGCCGGGATTTCAGCTAGCCCAAAGCAGCTGTTGGTTTTAATGGTTGGTGCAGTGGTGAGGGCGTCTGCCCTGTGGGGTCTATCGAGAGCTGCTCAGCTGGAACTTGACTCATCGCTCAATTCGTGCTGCTGTACGAGCTGCAYCGTTTGACGTTTGAGCCTTTCTGTGCGAAAATAAACTGGAAGAGGATGTGGCGGCTGGTACAGAGGGCAGCGCACAACAAGGCTGTTACAGTCCTGGGATGGTCTGAATGGGAATTCTGGTCTGGACCTGGGTATTTTTGAGTCATGGGAAGAATATTTGCGTCACAATGAGGACCAGTGACCGCAGCAGCGCTGCCTGGAGCTGGCGCTGCCCTACGAAGCTGGGCACCAGCAGGTGAGCAGGGTCCCCGTGTCTCAGGCAGCGGGAAGGACMAAGACAGGAAGGTCAAGCACCAACCCTGCAGGTTCGGTTTGATGGGACCAGCAAAGGGAAAACAGCAAGGAGAGTTTGGCTGGTAGGAACTGTGGTATTAAACAGCACGGAGTTGCCACCAGTGCTAGTAAAGAGAGGTTCAAACTGGAGTTGCCTGCATGGAGTGAAGCAGGATTCTGGGGCTTGTGGTTTCTTTCCGACAAGAGCAGCAGTGGAAAACTGTCCCGGTGGAAGCGGGATACCAGGCAGCCTGCGGTCCCAGCCGCGCTGCAGTGCTCCGGCACGGGGAACACGCAGGAACCTGGAGATTCAGCCCAGGAAAACGGGCGCACTCGTGTGCGAAGCTCGGGCTGAGCTTAGCTGATTTAGCACCTGTGAGTGTGGAGTGCGTCCCCGCCTGAGGAATTCTTTCTGACAGGCGGCAGATGCCGAGAGATGGAATCATGTCTGGAAAAAGCAGCTCAGTGGGAGGATGTGTCCTGGACCAGGGCCCTTCCTGGGGCGCTGGCCGGGACCACAGCCCAGGGAGCCCCGTCCCCGCGGTGGCRGCCGCCGTCACAGCCAGCGCTGGTGGCTGCTCATCAAACACAGCACCAGCTTCACCAGCGCAGCTGAGATCCGGAGCGCTGCTTCATTGCACAGCCGAAAATGCTCGTTCCACACAGCGGAGCACGTTGCTGTGTGACAGCTCCGCAGCGGGACTCGTGTGTCCCACATCCCTGCAGGCCGGTCCGGGGCTGCCACCTGGGGAACTTGCTAACGCCCACGTTGGGCTTYGCAGTTTCATTGACGGGCGCCGGAGAAGTGACGAGCCGTGTGACTGGAATCCCTCGCTCCGGAGGTCACTAGCTCAGCAAATCCGAGCGAAACTCTGCAATTCCTTTTTCATAACGCGCTCTGTATTTCACTTTTCTTTTGAAGGCCGTGTCTTCCCCGGGCTTTCGCTATCAGGAATCCCGGGGTGACGTAAGCGCAGGGATGCCCCGTGCCCTGGGCAGCCTCTGCACTGAGTCCTGCCAGGCTGAGCCTTGTGGGGCTCGAGCAGAGCCCTGGGGGCTGCGGAAAACTCCCATCCCTGCAGATCCCACTTGGGTTTGGGCCTCAAAATCCTGCTGATCCGCTTCAGGCTGCTATGGCTCCGTGGCTGCTTTAGCCTTGGAGCCTTCGGCCGCGCGAGTCCCCGGGCTGGGGCTGCCTGGGGGCCGCTGCAGCCCGGGTTTCGCTTTGCTTTGCGGAGACGAGGAAGAGAAAGCGGCCGCGAGCGGCAGGAGCCGGCGCGGGAACCGCGGGCAGCCCGACGTGCCGCCGGGGCGGCTTTTCCCTCCCTTCCGCGCGCCCGGCCCGCGCTGCCGCGGACTTTCTGGGGCTCGGGAGCCGCCGGGAAAGCTTGAAAAGAAACTAAAAGCAGCCGCTTCTGGGCAGCCTTGCTGCGCCGGGACAGGAGAACATTTGTGGGTGGCCCGTGGGATCCTCAGACAGGGCAAAGAGCRGCGGGTTGTGTCCCTGCCGCCCCAGCCCCGCTCCGGGCCCTCCTGAGCTCACCGGCACCCTCAGTGCGGGTGATGGAGGGGGYTTTGTGGGGTCCCCAGCCCTGCAGCCCGGTTCCGGGGGCGCAGGTGGACGGGCAGGTCCTGCTTCAAGCACAGAAGTGTTTGAACTCTGTTCCTCTCGGGAGGCGCCTGCCGCGGCAGCCGTGCCAAGGAGATTGCTCAGGCTGTGCGGAGGGAAAAGCTCGTGCTTTGCAAACCCAGGTGAATTTCGATCCAGGGAACCAAAGTCCTGCGAGATCCCATGGAGGAAGGGGGCAGAAGGAAACGCGGAGGCAGAGGAAGGTTGTGCTGGAGCCGGCAGCCGCACACGGGGGTTCTGCAGAAACTGCTCCCCAAACCCGAGCAGGTGAGCTCYGTTTGTCTTGTCTTCTTAAGCACCCATGCTGAGCAGCAGTACTTATCTGGCCCGTACTTACCTATTTGCTTTCACTTCCAAGGCTGTGGTTTTTATTAGCCCCTGGCTGGCCCAGGCATGCAAGCATTTTGCCAGCTCCCTGCAGTGGGACTCCCCTCTCCTGCCCCAGGGAGCAGGGAATTCCTCACGGTTTCCCTGATTCCCGCAGGGAAAGGACCCAGGCCAGCCAAGTCACACAGGTGACAAGTACCGGACAGATCAAGCGAGCGTCTTTGGGGCTTTGTGACAAATTGTTATTGCAGACACTGCGATTTTAATGGTGTGTGGAGCTAAATATCCAGTGAAAAACCCGAGCTCTGCTACAAGGCCCAGAGCTTTCACTATTGCCACCTAGGGAAGGCAGAAACGCGGCACCCCACGGCTTAAGCACGTTGGGTAGTTGTTCTGCTGCCTGCATTAGGTGCTGTCGGTGACCTTAGGGAAGAAGAGAAACTTTTCCCGGGCAGGAATAGGCTCTCCCATGGCCCAAGGAAAACGGGCGGCGCGGGGCTCGGCCTCCCTTTGCTGCAAAGGGCTCGGGCAGGAGAACTGCAAACRCAAGGCCAAGGCCAGGGGGGACACWGCACGTCCAGAGAGGATTAGGTGGTAAAATAAGGGGTCCTGGGAGGCTGTTTTTAGGAGGACATGAAAGTTACAGATACCTCGCTACGCAAATTTGGGCAAGGCTTTGTGATTCCTCCTCGCATTTGCAAAAGCAAGGGCAATCTGTTAAAAGTTTGCGTTATCCTGGTTTGTACTGAATAAATAGCACAAAAAAGAGCTGCTGGATCAAGTCTTCCTGCCCAAATGAGTGAAACTGAAGTTCAGAGTCGGATTCTCCAACTTTGTAAGTACAGTAAATATCAGTCTTTAGTGGCACACAGTGAAAGCAGCCTGTTTGGTATTTCAGAGACCCTACAAAAGCAGGACTTTTAAGCAGGTATTAAAAAACCAACCTCTGCTGGGTGCCCAAAAGACCCTCCTAGCTAGGAGCGAGGGTTTCTGCMCTGAATGAGCCCCTCGGCTCTGGTTACTGGCCGGCAGCAAGAGGTAAAACCCACCCCGGGCCGAGGGCGGCCCCGGCCGCTGCACACACCACACAACACGGCTCTCCTTTAAAAGTGCAGTTTAATTCCTGACTTCTACAGCGTGGTCATCACACACATGAGCACGACACGCGMGTACAGTGGAGATACGAGAAGATGCAATAACCCAGCCACAGTTTCACCTTGAGAAAACCAAACTTCTACAGATGCAACAGGAAAAAAAAGAACTAATAATAATAACCAGTGGCTATCACCAGCTGGTTAAGGGAACGGACACATTGCACCAACTTCTCTGTATCGAGTTCAAGGCACTTAGCAAGGTGACAGCTCYCGGCTGTCTCGGTGTCCCCGTAAGCGCCAGCCCGGGCTCCTTTCTTAAGGCTGCACCATCCCGGTGGGATTGGGGCTCTCGCGGGAGCTGCCGCCCACCGGGCACCCAACAGCGGCCACGCGGCAGGACAGGGACCCCGCGGACACCCCCGAACACAAACAGCAATGGTGCGGGAGCCGCCGGCGCCCAGGGTTTCCGCAACGTGCATAGATTCCCGAAGAGCGGAGCAGGGAGCGGGGCTGGCTCCCAGCTGGCACGCGGGCTGACGCCTCTCCTGTCCCTCCTCTCCAGAGCCGCGGCCGGGCTCAGCGCCGGCGGCTCCCGCGGGATGCGGCTCCCTGCACCCCGGGTGCTCACGGAGGGTCTTTGGGAAGCTCCCAAAAAGAGGGTTCGTGTCCGGGCTGCCGGCGCCGCCTCTCCCGGGGTCGTGAGGCCYGGGAACCCTGCGCTGGAGGGAGCCCCGGTAAATCCTGCGGCGATTTTCCTTGCAAAAATCCTCCTTTCAGGCAAAGCTGCCCGGCCGCGAGGCACACAGGGAGCAGCCCCTGCAGCCGCTGGGCAAAAACATCTCGAAAAGGGGAAAAGAGGAAAAAAAAACCATAAAAACAAAAAGCCCCTAAAGCGAACCCAAAGCACAGGCTGGATTCCTATTGCAAACAAACCAAAAAAACCCAAGAGCACAAAAACTCCCCAGTCCTGCAACACTCTAGCACAGCCTCGGTGCCTGCCTGGTGCCGTTTCTGGGAAGCGAGGAGAGCAGAAAATGAGAGAGACTAACTCATTTTGTAAAATCCATTCCTTGTGCGGGATGAAATGCGGATACACGGCCTGCTCTTCTGAAAACACCCTGAATAAAGGCAGGAGCCACGCACCTCGCCAAGGTCCATTTGCCACAGAACAGGAAACAGGCACCTTCCCTGACACACATCTCCACTTCCAGCTACAGGCAGGCGTAAGAGCAGGGATCAGGGAGCCGGATCCGGGATTCCAGCACGAAATCCACTAAAAGAAAGCGGGAAAGAGGCCTCCGCGCTCCCGGCGTCACCGCTCCCTTGGGAGCCGCGGCGAGCGGAGGCGCCGAGCACCGACCACAAGGCAGCCCGGTGAGCAGGAGGTACCACATACAGATCATACATTTAATATGCTGCTTAGATTTGAGCAGAGATTTTTTATTTCTGGCATTGGCGAGTCATTTAAATATTTAGCCCGGACAATAAAATATAAAAACATCTACCGTCTGTGCCTGCTGCGTCGAACGACTGTCACACTATTCGGGCCCCGGTGAACGGTATAATAGTATAAGAATATCTTAAGTCAATGTCATACATACATTATGAACTTACAAATAAATAACTCTACAAAAAAAAATCCTGTCTTTGCTCCATAGTTTCATGTGATAGGCAAAAAAAAGGCTCTTTCTGGTGAAGGCAAATTAGGAATTGTACATTTAGTACATGAATACATTACCGGTGCATCACCAAAGCCAACCACCAGGCAACAAAAAGACATATCATATGAAACAAATTTTTAAATTTTTATTTTACATATTTATACATAAAACTTTCCAGGTAACTCTTTGAATCCAACCGAATGTTAATAGCACATCTAAAAATGAACGTCAGGTAGTCAACATTCACAAAATGTTGAAAACTGATTAAAATATACATATTACTGAAAGCTACAACTTCACTACGAGGCAGGCATGTATTTTTTTTGACTTGTATAGCACCGTCAATTACAGTTTCTTTATTTAAAACTACAGTGAGGAATAAAAAAGTAGTCAATGGTAAAATATCATTCAACTCAAAATCTCTAAACAAACAAAAATAAAGTTAAACTACCCTCTCTTCTTATCCATGATTTATAATGTTATAAGTACTGTACATTTTTGTAATAATATTATTAAAATGCCTCATATTTAGTGGCAGAAGTAAAAAAATTAAAATAAATTAAGAAGCAGAGGCCAATCACTGGACGTAAAGCTTTGGACATGGTCAATGACTAACACTGATTTTCTTGTGCGCCACCTTGGACACCAGCGTTTGTACGAACACAGAAGCAAAATAAAGTCTAGCTCGCCCTCTGGTCCGACGGCTTCTGGCTTCACTTTGCCGGCATTTTCTCTGCCATGTGCTTCTGCTGGCTTTCCGCGTGTCTGAAAAGCGGGAGGGAAAGGGGAAACTCGGTTAGTGGCTGCCGGCACAAACCCCAAACMATCACGTGCGTGGTCGACATCCACCCCAAAAATCGCTTTCCCAAAGCAGGGAAGCGGTCGGCGCTTCCGCAGTGACTTATGTGCCCTGCAAACCCGGCTGGAGCAAGAGGTGCCCGCTCCCATGGAAAGGAAAGGAAAGGCAGGACAGGAAACACCTTTTCCGACGTGTTTCTGTTCCCGCCGCTCGTTTCCTCCTCCTGGGCGAGGGGTCAGAGGCCGGGACACAGGCAGAGGATGAGAGGCCGGTGTCGGGCCCGGAATCCCGACTGCTCCCGCCCACATCCCGATCCCACCGACCCGGCCCACAGGAGCCTGTGGACAGAACCSGGTGTGTGGGAAAATCTCCATCAAAAATCCGCATCTCCTGCAGCTCACGGAGCCCCGCGTGGACGTTAAACTGTGACCCCCGGAAAGACAACCTTCTAATTAGCCAGCTCCAGCCCTAATCCCAAATCCTGCTGTTTTATCAGTCGCTTTTAATTAGGAGGCTGGGACTTCCCTGCCACCCTCACAAATAACCATGCCTCCCGCTGCTCCCGGGGCTGCCGTTGCGGCGAGCGCCGCAGGGCGGCACGAGGAGGGCTCCGAACATCGCGCGGCTCTGACCCGAGTTGAGCGAAACCTCTCCCAGGTAAAAGAGCGATCGAATCTCAACCAAATATTATGCAACAGTGAGATGTTTTAAAATAGAAGCAGATTTAGGCCATTCTTGCTTTTTCTGTATCCTGTTAGCAAGGAATTCTGAGGACTGAATAATCAAAAGGGGGCTTGGCTGCTAGAAGTATTTTAACCAAGCTTATTTCTTATATTTTTGCAACTTCAGTACTTCAGTTCTGCAGCAATAATCCCGGCACACTTCAAATAATCAATGCCACCTTTATAAGCCTAGAAGCTTTACATATGTCTTAGATTGTGCACTACGGAAGCACTGTCTCCAAGGAAAACACTTGTAACACGTTGCCACAAATGAGCTGGAGCTCTTTAGGGAACAATACCTGGAAATGCTTCCTTTTTTATCTGCCATTGAATATCATTGCTTAAAAAACAATAAAAAAAATTTACATGTTGTTCAAGTTCTTCCGACCCRCGCACTGTTTTGTCACTGCTTGACTATTTTCATTTACGCTTTGCTTTGATGGTGGGGAAGGTTCTTAAGGAAACAAGTGAAGCAATTGTTGGGAAATGGCAATAATGGCCAACTGATCAAAATGGGGTTTTTTGGGAGTGTTACCCCAATTCTGCTGTTTCAACACAGCATTGCGACAAGCACACAGTTGCTGCGTTATCTCCTACGTGCTTTTTGAAAGCTTCAGGGCTGAGACCCAYGGAGAGCCCCTGCCTGGAAGCTGCAGAGCGCGAGCCGGGAGCGGGGAGCCGGGAGCCGGGAGCGGGCGCCGCGGCCCCACTCACCGGGTCAGGTCTTCGATGTCCACCAGCATCGCGTCCTGCTCCGTGTGCAGCTCATCCCGGATGAGCAGCAGCTGCACCAGCTCCTCRTTCAAGCCTGCGGCCAGAAGGAGAGACGTCAAGCTCCTCGGGGACGCCCCGGGGCTGGCGCTCCCCGCACCAACCTGCAAGAGCTGCTCCGTGACCCTCCTGAAACACCTGAGCGCGGCCAAGCGAGGGGAATTTCGCAGGGTCCGGCTCTGGCCATAGCCCGGCTGTTCCAGCACTGCCCAGCCACGTGTGTGGGGCAGGACACGTGCTCCCCAAAACACCCAGCTCTGCTCTCCGGGCACACGCAGCTCCAGCCTTTCCACCTCCYGTGGCTTTGCAAAATGTGTCACCCGTGGATCATGTTCTGGGGTTGCTGCTCAAGTCAACGCCTCTACTTAAGAGAGATGATAGTTATGCTGGATTTTTTGCTCAGGGTTGTGTAGCGAAGGAAGAAAAAAGGACCAGATGAAAACTGTGTTTTTCCAGTCTGGGAGCCTTGCAGGGTTCCAGGAGGCTGTTTGCAGCCGTCCTGCTCACACACTGGCTGCTCCTTCACAACCCATCGCAGATTTGAGGGGAATTTCAGGAGAATCCCATCCTTCCCGCATGGGTGCGGGGCTGGGCAAGCCTGCCCAAGCAGGGAGGCTCCCCCAGASGTGCAGGGTATGGATCTTGGGAAGTCCAGGGCAAACATCCCTCCTGCTCCCAGGTGCGCCCGCCCTCAGGTCTCGGCTCTCCTCCCTCGGATATTTATAAAATGGTGCTGCAAAGGGAGGAGTTGAGAGCAGCATGAAAGCAGCGCCACGAAGCCACGAGAACTGGCAGATGCTCCCAGGACAGGCCCGGTTCCCAAGCTATATTTAACTGCCTGGGTTTTGAGTTACTGACACTGCGGTACCAGCGCTGCCTCCGGCAGGGCTCTCGGGCAGAGCCGAGCGAGAAAAGGACAAAACTCCTCAGCCACTGAGCTCTGCAGTGCAGATCTCTGACCTCATTTTGTTATTGCACCATTTAACCACATTTTTACGTGTATCTTGGTCTTAAAGTCCTGAACTGGACCTTACCGGTCCTGAAGTACCCGTCTTAATTAAAAGGGATATGTCGAATAAAAATTAAACAAATATCACTTACTTTCTATTTGTGAGTGGAGATCATTGACTATCACTTGTAGCTGCCCGATAGTCATATCTCTTAGATCAGTGGGCTTTAAACTTCTCTTCATCAGGCATTCACTTATATGAGGCATATGTGGCAGCTAAAAGCAAATGTTAGACTTTAAAATTTGCTCCTTGCCTGTATTTGTGAACAGCAGCAGTCTGCACTTCGTGCAGCCCCCTCCCAAACATCCCTCATTCACCTTCATCGGCCGAGCCCACAGAGCGACCTGGCACACAAGGAACCAGGCCACCCAAACCACTGCTATCAACAGGGCTCTGAAGTAACATGCAAGGCCACRAGAAGCAGCTTTGTATCAAGACTAATGCTCCAACTTGGGCTGAGATCGGATGGATTGGGAAAAAATAAGTCTTTTGAGTACGGGCAGCATCGTGCCCGTTACCGGCTTTGATGTCGGATCAACTTGGCAGCCTCATTGTTTCATTTCCCACAATGATCCTGCTCTCGTTAACAGCCTGACTGGGTGAATCCCATCGACCCTCAACTGCAGCCTGGCGTTTCAAGCCTGAACTGCTTTTGTCTGTGGACACAGAGGGCACCTGTGACCAAACTGTAAGCAGCAACCAATGGAAAATTAAAACAGCGCTTGAATCACTATATTGGCCTTTATGTATAACAACTGATGGCTGGTCAGGCTCTAAATCCTAGTCACAGAGGGACACTTGTCAGCTCTAACAGACCGTTGGTGAACACATCTACCTGGAGAGGTACCATAGAAACAGCAGTCTGTGTGGTACCCCCTTCCCCACAAAGGCAAACAGTTAGAAAAACCAGCTCTGTCTGAGCAGGATGACACTCAGCACAAGTGTGTTGATACTCCAGCAACCCCRAGACCCCAAACTCACAAGATCAGCTACTGGAGATTTCTTCCGGTTCTGCTTTTCCACYTCTACTTGCATTTTGGCCATTGGCTTTGCCATAGCCAAGGCCATTTTGGCTTCAGCTTGTAGTTTCTTTTGCCGAGTGAGAAAATCCATGTCGTCTAGGGATTCAGACTCCTCTTCAGTAGTGTCTCTGTCTGAGTAGGAAGAGCTCTGCTTGCTCTAGGAAAGCAGACAGGCAGCAGTTACCAGCCCGTTCACACCTCATATTCCCACAGCAGCAGCASAGCAAAGAGATTTTGCTTTGAACTCAAGATTCATTTATGTATCTGCAAAGGTATAATTTCCACAGCAAAGAGCCCGGGATTTTGTTTATTTTCATCTGCAAGATGGGCTTCAAACATCAGAGTAACTCCTAGGCAGGCTCTCAGGAGTATCAGTAGCACCTGAGCACCTTCAGTTGGAAGAGGAGAGGGTGGTTCTGCCAGGGGAGGCTACTGGATGCCCAGGGCCTTGGTACTGCAGCCACAAGGGGAAAGAGCGAGCGGGCGGGGAGCTGGTGCTGCCTCAGCTTCCTTGCTGCCTGCACAATTACTGCCCTGCAAGGGAGGCAGGAGGCAAGAGGGATTTTCAAACACGAAGGCTTCTCTCCTCGGCCACGGCCTGCGCCGCTGCGGSTACTGAAGACTCCAGCTTTTAGCTTTGCTATTTTAACACAATCAGCTCTCTATCAGTTTCTATTATGGATTTCCTATCTTTTATGTTCCCAAATCCCATTGCTCTCCATGCAGGGCCTCCTGTGGGAGGAGTTACCAGACCCACCATGGGGGACAGGGGAGTATCGAGGCTCGTCTCGGTCTTGCTGTCGTCGGCATCGCTGTCCTTGTCGCTGCCGCTGTCGTTCACAAAGCAGATCTGCAGGTTCATCCCGCTTTGCAGCCTGGGGGCAAAGGCAGAGGTCAGTGCACACAACCACGACCGACCGGCATCCCCCCCGGAGCAGAGTCCCTCCTCACCACAGCACTGCACTTATGAGCTGAGCCCAACGTCAGCCTTTCCATGATGCACCCCGAGCCGTCCAGGCTCATTTCCCAACCTGTTATCAGGCTCAGCCCAATGTGCCGCTGCCCAGAATTTCCTCAGCATCCCAGTTTAGGATAAACAAGCTCCTTGCACCTTTTGGGAGCCTCCATCACCCAGCCTGAGTTTTGCTGAGTTGCAGTTTTGCGCTCCAGGTGAATCCCACATCCAGCCCTGTCCCAGCCCCGTGGGGTGGGAACCACTCAGGACCTTCCCTTCTTCCCCAGSGTCTCCAATTCTGCAGGAGGAAGAACGGCTTCAAGTTCACTTTGATTCTCCAATTSCACCTCTCGGGTGTAATAATAGTTTTCCTCCTGTTTTTATGCCTCTTCCAAGGTTTTTTCTTTGCCCACGCCATGGCAACGTGTCTAGCTTCACTCCTCCCGTGGGAGTCGCTCAGAGCTTTCCAAGTGCTCTGGGTTACTCACCGACGGCTCAGCAACAACAAACCTCTCCAGGGCCTCTCTGCTGCCTACAGAAGCTTTAAGAAATAGAGCAATAAATATATAAGCAAGTATAAGCCCAAGCAGCACGAGAGCCCAGGGGATGGAGCTCAGCCCAGTTCTGGGGGAGCAGGGAGGAGGCAGAGAGCAGGATTAAAGCRCAGATTTCTCATCCCTGGTATCTGYATCATTCCCCAGCGCTTTCTCCGAGCAAGATTAATTGCCTGGAGCCGCTGCAGAGCGGCTGAACGGCTGCTCTCCCATATGCTGGCTGCCTACGGAGCAGGGACGCCAGAACACAGATATGATCACGCAGGTTGCCACTYGCTTCCCAGCTTGCCCACATGCCTCCCTCCTTCCAAAGGGGGATCCAACCTTGCAGCAAGGCAGAGCACCACCCGGGAAGGGCAGGCACTGGCATCCAGGAGCACTAGGATGATATTCCTCAGGGTGCAGACACACGAGTTCACTTCTAAGAAACACCCAGGGCCAATTACGAGACTTGTTGCCCTTCTCTTGCCATTTCCCTGCAGCTTTGGACGTGTCCCTGGGGTTTGTGCGATGCCCATTTGCTCGCAGATGAACCAGCAGCAGGGCAGCAACACATCCAAGCACATTAATCAGTGCTGAGCTTCTAGTCCTGTCTGTTTTTCTCGTGCTCTGCTCAAAGCAAGAAGAAACCCACGKCCTGTGTGCAGAATCTAGAGCCGGCTGCACCCGAGCTGGAAAAGCCCCATTAGGGACCCCGCCAGTACTCTGAGAGCAGTGTCATGCAAGCTTAGCAAAGGCAATTAGCAGGGCTCGTTATCAGCATGAGCTCTGCTTCCAAACAGGCTGCCACCTCCCAGGCTGCCAAAGGAAGAGGCACTTCTGTAAACTTTACAGAGTTGGGTTTTTTTCATTGATTTTCATCAGGCTGCCTAACCAGCAAGAAAGGGTCCAAGGAACTATCTTCAAGCACCCTCCTACTTCAAACACGCTCTTTCTTAACCAAAACAGCACTGCTCTCACCATGGCAGTAAGTGTCCACTCGTGCGCCCGTGGTGCTTCCACCACTTCTCTCAGCCTGCTGAAGTCCAAAGGCAACACACAACCCCTGACAGAGAGCCCAAACGAAACCGTGGATGCAGCTTCACAGAAAAGGGAGCTGGGCTGATTTACTCCTTCAGCCTCAAAAATCCCAGAACAGAATGGCTGAGGTTGGAAGGGAYTTCTAGAGATCATCTTGTGCAACCCCCTGCTCCCGCAGGGACACCCAGAGCACGGGGCACCCGGTCACATCCAGGCGGGTTTGGAAGGTCTCCAGAGAAGGAGACTCCCCAGCCTCCCTGGACAGCCCGTGCCAGGGCTCGGGCTCCCTCACACCAAAGAAGTTCTTCCTCAGGTTGAGATGGGTTCCCATTTGTACCCATTACTCCTTGTCCCGTCACCAGCCACCACCAAGAAGAGTTCAGCCCTAGAAAAATCTTTCATTTACTTTTTTTTTTTTAACAACCCCAGCATTTTCAGCATATTATTGACAGCTACTTAAGAAAGAGACACCCATTGTACACGGAGCATAAAATGTCCTGAAATAAGGAACGTTTAAGAACGTGGCCGCAAATGAGAACCAGAGGATSTGCTGAAGGGCAGGTCCTAGGGTCCCCACTGGAGACGTCACATCTACCAGCCCCAAACCAGGCTTCGTGGTAGGTCTCCCTCAGCCGTGGCATTGCGGGCAGCACGGGAGGGCTCCGGGGCCACCGCACCTACCGGGACGACAGGCTGGGCTTGCCGCTTTTGCTGCAGCTCGTATAAATCCCCGGGCCATCGTCAAAGAAACTGCCGAGGGCCAACTTCTGCCTGATGGACTCTCTCTCATTCTTCTGAGCCTGCAAGCGAAGGGAAACACAACCAGGTTAAGCTCTGGCTCCCATCGTCGTCATCATCGCGTTGGCTTGACTGCAGGGGCTAACGTTGACCTAGTAGAACATCCCATGGCAGGGCAGTAGATCCAGACAGGGCTGCTCCACCAGGGCTCTCACCCCAGGCCACGGGGACCTGGCGACGCTGCCCTTGGGACCATGCGGAGCGGGAGGGACCAAGGAGGCTCCCGGGACTGCACAGGAACAGGAGCCCGTGCTCCAAACGGCTCCTTCCACACGCACAGCTCCTGTCCCATGAACCGGTGGCTCTCGYGACACAGGGACCTGCTTTCATGAAGCAGCTTCAGTCATTCCTAAGCAATTTCAGGAATACACAGAGTATCTTAATACCAAAATACCGTTTTTTTTAATGCTACAGAGATGTATAATTAGATGCAAATTATTAACTTAAAATAGCAAATAATTTAATTCTAATTTCAGTGGTATTATTATATTATCCATTGTATTGTCATTCCCTCACCAAATATGCACTTCGTTTGCAAGCTAACTCCTTTTTAATCACTGCACATGATAATTTAAATATTGCAAACAAATCTGATAGTATCGAGTCAAACTGTGTGTCCAGGCCCAGCTCCGGTTCCGTAACCAGCCTGTCCAGCCCAACCTTCTGCTCCGTTTCCCAGGGCTTCCCCCSTGGAAGCTCGCTGCGTACGAGAGTGTCTAAAGCTCCAGGTGACTCCCAGGTTTTCATTTGCCCGCTACGCAGCTCTTCCTTTGCCCTGAAACGTGCAGAGGTGACGCATGTCAATCTCAGACCTGATACCTGTACAATTAATTTAAGCCTAAGATAAAGACGCAGTGCCAAACCCTAAAACAAGCCCAGCGTTGGTGTTACAGGCCACACGGTGGGCCACGAGGTGCTGCATTTCAAGGGGTCTTGCAGGAGGGTAAATAAAGACTGGAAGCAGCTGCTCCCAGCAGCGACCAGGGCCGGAGACGCGGCCAGAAGTCAGCAAAGCCCCTGCACCCACTGCCCAGCCCAGCCCGTTTTATACAGCCCCCACAGGACAAGGACCGCGGGGAAATCCAAGGTGCCGTTTGTTATTACGAACCWGGGGATGCTTCCTAGGAAATACAGAAGCCCTACGGGAACCGGGCTTCCCGCTGCAGACAAATCACCCAGCGGCTGCACTGCACATCTGAGATGGAAAACTCAGCAGGAAGGAGGAAAGGCAGGAATGTCTTTTAGTCGCAAACATCCCCCCTTTGCATGTAATATGAAATATTTGAGAAATAAAGGGATTATTGCAGGACTCGCCCGCTCCGGTTCCCACTTTCCCTCTTCCGCATGGAGCTGCGGGCACCGGGAGCTGATTGCTCATCCATTGGGAGCCATTATCTCCTCCTGACCCATTTCAGCTCCCCCTGACCCACTTCCAGGCACGTTTCCTTCTGGAYAGAGAAAACAACAGCTGACTACGGAATTCTTCAACCCTCAGCTACCAAAGTCTGCCTGTAGCATCCACCAACGGTACCTACAGGGAGCCACTTGTTCTACCTTTGGAGCTATAGGAACATCATGGCACAGGCTGTGCCTGGGCATCGGATCCTGCACCGCTCACACGAGCGCCGCGGGATTCCCGCTCCTTCCTGAGAACCGGAATGACGCCCACGTTTTAGAATTTTGCCCATTTAAGGAGCAATAATTGGACACGCTTTTGCGGTACGCACCGCCGCGGCAATGCTCATCCCGCGGGAATGCGGGCCAGCTCCCGGCCCATGCGYGGAGCAGCTGGGACGGACTCGCGCTTGCCGCCGGCCCCAGCGCGGAGCTCCGGCTATTTTTGCCGGGCTCTGTTATTACAGACACGGACAACGRCTATATTTAAATCCCCAAACCAACCCAGGCCCTGCTGAATCGCTAAGGAGCACGAGGGCCTGCAAACAGCCTGCCCGCCGCGCACTTGTTCGGAAGAGCTTTGYCTTCCCCACGGGCTTACAAGAAAATGCCGAATCAACCCGAGCTCCCGCGGCCCCTCCGAGCCGCAGGCACCGGGGGGGCTGGAAACGCTCCTCGAATTCCACGGAAACGTCCCGTTTCGCGGAGCGCCGGCGGGGGGGGGGGGGGGGGGGGTCGGTGTCGGGACAAAAGGGCCCTTTTTGTCCCTTACCTTTTTGTAATTCCCGTCGTCGGCGTCGGGCGCGGATGCCTGGCGGGTGATGTCACCCATCCCATGGCCGGCGGCGCCCCGCGGCTCCGAGCGCTCCGCGGCGGCCTCCGCGCGCCCGCCGGCTTTTCCCTAATAAAGGCAGCGAGCCGGAGCCCGCGATAAAAATAGCTGCCCGGGCGCGCCCGGAGGCACCGGCGGCTCCCGGGAAAGGCGGGAGCGGAGCCGTGGGTTCCGCACGCGACCCACGGAAGGGGTCCCACCACAAGGGCTGCCATAACGTGAAGTTTTCCCCRCTCGGGAACTTTCCAGGCGGCTCCCTGGCTAAAACTGCTTTTTTTTTCAGGCACCAGAAAGGTTTCCAGGAACCAGCAAAGGCAGCTCTGGGCTCGGCACCTTATCGGGAAGCTGCTCTCCGAAGGTGGGCAAAGAGCAGCGGCTCCGACCGCCGTGCACGTGGCTACGGACATCAGCGAATGGGTCAGGAACAGGGTTGGTCAAGCGGATTCATCGCACACAGCTGCTCTTCCCGAGCTCCAAAATCTACATTAAATCCCAGGTCTTCCCAATCTCCAAGTCTTGGGTCTTCCCCATCTCTGAAGCCCACATTCAATCCCAGGTCTTCTCGAGCTCCAAAGCCCACGTTCAATCCCAGGTCTTCCCAGTCTCCAAGTCTACATTCAAGCCCTTCCTTACTCACGTGTGACAACGGCAGAACTGGCCCCTAGGGCTGACGCGACCGCGCTGCAGCTTGGACAAGTAATTTCAACCGTCCAGCCATTAAGGACACGACAGGTCCAGGTCCCATTGCAGGGAAAAGAGTAATAATAAACAGAAACATTTGAATTAAATTATTTTTCTAGGATGCCATCTTGTAATTACTTTCTTCCATTTGGGAATTAGAGTGAGCTGGATATTTTATTATTTTTGGTTCCTCTCCATTGCCGACCCATTGCATCACATCCCGATCCCACTAAAATTAACCTCCTGTGTCTCCGACAGGGATCCCGATGCTCCTGGGACGACGGCACTTGGTTTCCCAGCATGGCTTCTCCCAGCACATGGTGAAGCCCATCCTGAAAACGCAGCCCACGCTTCCCACCTGAAACCGGAGGGTTTCATCCCTATGTAAGCCTTCYGGCTGCCGGTCCCCCAGGCCCGGATGCAGAGCGGGGCGGCGGGAGCTCCTGCGGGTTGGTCCCCATCACAACGTCGCTGAAAGCCTCGCCTCGAGAAGCGCCTCCAGCCACGGCGACGTGCGGATCCCGTGYGGTTTTCCAGGCCATGCAGGGCCTGGAGCGCTTARCGAGGAGCGCGTATCCGGGCTGACCTGCGCCAGGTGTCCCRGGGCGCAGGAACCCCCAGGGCTCCYGGAACTTCACCACAGCTGCGAGGGACAAAAGCCACCACGGCCCTTGGGGTCGGGATCTGTTTTCCAACTGCTGCAAGTTGCCTCGCTGCTAAGGCAGCCGGAGATTCCTGAGGAAAACTCCCAGAGTGCCGACAAAGGCCTGCGTAGAGCAGTGTGTCAGGATTCCCGGGATATGGCCTGCGTGGAAGAGTGYGTCGGGATTCCTGGGATATGGCTTGTGCGGAGCAGTGCATCAGGATTCCCAGGAGAAGGCCTGCATGCAGCAGCGYGTCAGGATTCCCAGGATATGGCCTGCGTGGAGCACCGCATGTTGGGATTCCCAGAAAAAGGCCTGCCCAGAGCACCGTGTGACAGGATTCCTGGATAAGGCCTGCACGGAGCACTACATGTCAGGATTCCCAGGATAAGGCCTGCACAGAGCACCGTGTGTCGGGATTCTCAGGCAGGGCGCCGCAGGAGTGACTGGATCGCAGCGCCTCTGCTCCAGCTCCTTGTGGCTCCGGCTCCTTCTCCTGCTTCCCTGGCAGCAGAGCGGTTGGTCTGACCCTGACCACGGCTCCAGCCCCAGCTCCTTCCACACTGCAGCTCCAGCAGTTTCCCTGCACCGCATTCCCCAGAGGTGCCGGCTTTTGGAGCTCGCTCCAGGATTTCCAAGGAAATGCAACCTAATTATTCCTATCACTTTGTTTACTCTCTACCCGCCCTTGGGACTGCTCTGCTTTCAAAGGCGCATCCAAATCCCGTGCAGGGAGGCGGCGCCGACGGGGCCTGTGCACGGAAAGGCCTCGCGCCCGAGCGCGTTCCCGGCCCCGCCGGGATCCGGACCTTCTCCCAGCGAGGGGGAGGGAGATGCAGGGAAACAGCCTGACGCCTCCCAGCGCTGTCCCGCGGGATCAGTGTTGATGGAACAAAAATGAAGGGCTGGCTGATGCTGCAAACAGGCAGAGCGGTGCTCATCCGTGTGCGTTGGAGATAACATCCCTTTTTTCCTCTTATAGATTTATTTTTAGTCTTCAGTCTACACATCCCTACTTAAACACTCTGCGGCGGTTAAGAAAGGAGAATTTTTGGTTAATAGCTTTTAAAAGCGGAACATCCCCCACTCAGAGGAGGGATAAGGGATAGGGCAGAGGGATAGGGCAGAGGGCGGATGGCGGCGGCCGGGATGCGGGAGCAGGGGGTGCAGCTGGAGGAGGGGGCGCTCCCGGCTTCCATTCCCAGCGCAGACCGCGGAGAGCGGCACCTCGTCAGGGAGCCCCTAGCGAGAGGCTGCGGGAAGGCCCCGGATAACCGAGGACCCGGCCCCGATTCGGAGCCTGGGAGCGTTGGGCTCAGCCTGGGAGCGTTAGGCTCAGCCTGGGCCTGCCYGTGGGCAAAGCCCCGGTGCTGCCGCGGCCCGGCTCTGTTTTGGGAACAGCTCGGCCGGGTCGCATCCCCCCGGGACTCCCCTTAATGTGCAGCTCCATGAGCTCCCGAACAAAGCAAATGTGTTTTCAGGCCAAATTCCTGCCCTACAAACACATTTCCAAGCTCCGTCTCTGCGCAGCTCTCATTAAACCCCGAGCGCTTCCCAAGGCTGCCATCCGGCCCCTTCCCCCTGCGTCCGCATGCGCCTGCCGTGCTTGGCTGCATCATCCCCGGCTCCCTGCGGAGCCTGGGCCCGCAGTGCCGCCCCGCTCCGGATCCGAGCGCAGCCCTGGGGCGACGGGCGCCGCACCAGGGGCTCCAGGGGCCCTTCCCTGCGCACGGCGGCCCTTCTGTTGTGGAAACGGCTCCYCAGGCAGCGGGAGGCGGCGGCTCCTTCCGCAGGATCCTTCCCGCTCCGGGGGGCGCGGGGGCCGCTTGCCAAAAGGCGACGGAGCAACAGGCCGCTGGAAAAGCGGACCGCGAGCGGGAAGGGAAAGCGGGATTTCACTGGGAAGGAGCCAAAGATGGAAGCTGCTCTCAGGGGAGCGGGTGAAGCACTGCGGCAGAGAGCTCCTCCGCTCGCACGTACGCGCGGCCGCCTTTCCCGCAGCATCCCGAACCCAGGGAAAAGCCTGGGCACAAGGCGCAGGGCCCGGCCGCGGGAGCATCCGCCCGCGGGGATCCCGCGGGACATCCCGGCGCGCTGCAGGTGCGGAGCTCCCGAAGGACACAGCGGGACCCCGGCCCCGTGTCACCCGATCCCGGTGCCGCATCCCGGCTCACCTGGTAGCAGCAGTTTTCCTGGTGGACCATCTCGGCGCATGGTGCGGCGCGGAGCTGCCCGCAGCGCTAAGATGGATGCGGCGCTGCGGGAGCCGGCGGCGGGGAGGAGGGACGGGCGCGCGCGGAGGGAGGGACGCGCCGAGGGAGGGAGGGAGGCGCGGCGCCCACGCGGCCCACACAAAGGGGATTAAGGCATTAAAAAAAGGGGAAAAATGGAATAAAAGGGCAGGGGGTGCTTGCTGCATCCGCAAGCAGCCCGCWCTCCAAGGCTGCCGGTGCTGTGCGCGGGACCGCGCGCCCACGAGCTGCATCCAGCAGGTGCTCGCGCATCATCCTGCACCCCGGGGTGCTGGAGCGCTGGGCTGGAGCCAGGAGCCGCCCTGGGATGCGAGGGATGGAGGAAGGCCCCGTGGGRTGCAGGCACCGATCCCGTGGGAGCGAAACTGGCCCAAACGATGGGATTTGGGGCTCCCATGTGTGGAGCGGGCTCAGCGCGTGCYGGCGCTGCTGGGGATCCGCGGCTGAGCCACCCTCGCTGCCGCTTTCACACCTATGCCTATATATATGTATACATATATATATGTATGTGTATTTGTATGTGGKTGCGCAGCGAAACAAAATCCTTGGCTGTATCCTGTGGTTACAAAGCTGATGACCAGGGAAGCAGCGCCCGGCGCCGTGGGAAGGAAGGAACCCAGYGAGTCATCACGCCGAGCCCCCACATCCCACATCCGTGTTTTTCCGCGACGCTTCCTGCCCCGCGCGAGCCCCGGCCGCCACAGGATCCCATCCCGGCCTAGCCGGGGAAACACTCGTTCCTCAGGCTGGTCGTGGCAGGCCAGTGAGTGATGCAAAAAGCCAGGCCACACGCAATGGAAATCCTTAAAATTTCAACTACCCTCCGTACATCTGGATCAGACAACACGGCTAAAAGCGTAGTATCATTTTAACTATAAATCATGGTAGGACAGGGAGAGGAAACGCGCCCAACCGCAGCCCCTTGCTCAGAGCCACCACACAACACACCAGGGCTGCCCGCTCCCCGTTACTCACCCGGGTGTTTGTTAGTCACCGGGACCCGGGCGCCAGCTCCAGGGACAGCTCTGCTTGCGCAACGCCGGCAACTTGTCAAAGAACCGGGAAAAATAAAGATAAAATCCCATGATTCTATATACACACTGGCTCACACTTTCTCCAGGGTTATGGATTTAGCTCCTCCTTAAGCCAAACTAAAGCTTTTCCAGGGTTTAAACCTAGCAAGAAAAAGAATTTTTTTTTTTAATCAGTTAATACTAGAAATCTGCTTGAAGAGAGGAGTATCTGTCTGGATTACATTCCATTCTGTAAGTCTAATTAAGTCTAATGCTACAGACTTCTCTATTTAAGAGACATGAGGAGGAGGTGTTTTCCCTCATTTTGGATAAGCTCCTTTTCTTCCTAWGAAGAAACCCTCAGGTGGTTTGAAAACCCAAAGCACCTTCCTCCTCCTTCCACGAAGGTTTCCGGAGCASCTCGCCAAGCAGCGGGGTAGCAACTCGTAAGAAAAAACAAGAATAAAAACTTGTGCATGGAAATTTCAGGATAAAACTCTTCTGTTTCCTCCTACAAACCCAAGGACGGCATCATTGGGGTAAAACCAACAAGCAGGAGCAAACGCAGGTCATATAGGAGGGCATGGGGCAAACCAGCCCCTGACCTGCCCGGGAGGAGCTTTCTCATTTCTATTTGCAAATAGGCACACTGTGTAACTTTGAYAGCCTCGTGCTGCTTTTTGTGGGTAAAAGATCTGCCCAAACTGCAACATCTGCTCCGTGACCCGCAGACAGCATCCCTGGCCTTGGATAATCACCGCCCGATTTTATCCTCTCTCAAAACATGCAAGAGAAGTTACAGGAATTCCGGTGTCACGGGGCGGTTCCTCGGATGCACGGCATGTCAAACGCTTCCCGCTGGCCTAGGGGGGCACAGTGAAATCACTTGGGTATTTATAGCTTTCTAGTGACGTATAAGTGGAAAAACATATGCAAAATAATCAGCGTTTTTGGTGAAAGTCGTCTAGAAAGACTTGCTGCACAGGCCGAATTGTCAAACGCACCATCCAGCAACCCGATCACTCATCGAATCCGGAAGCGGAGTGTTAAGGAGTTATGATACCTGCCCAATTATTTACTGCTAATGAGCACAGAATAATTTCACCTACCAGCTGCTAACGAACACGGCGGGACAGCAGTGCAGAAGCTATAGGGTTTACTTGGGTTCTTACACCCAGACAACTGCTGGCAACGCGATATTCACGTGCTGCAAGATGCTGTGTGAGCAGCACGAGCTCTCCGGCAGCACCACCTAACACTTGGATCCCAAAGTTTTATATCAAAAATAAATCAAAAGGTTGCAACCCACCTGGCTCTACACTCCATTTGCACCCCTTTGGGAAGGGATGGCTGATAAATTGCATCACCCTTGCATCAGCTACAAGTAATTTTCAACGTTTTGGACCCATACGTTGACGCACACGGTGCAGCAGAKGGGAAGCACCAGGGAGCAGAGGTCTGGGGGATTAAATGGCACATGCCAGGAGTCAGTGGGTCACGGCGTATTATTTGTACATCCTCGCAGCTGAACCAGAATTAAACCTCTCCCGTCGGCTTTTCCCACAGCACAAACACGGCACAGCACCGAGCACAAAGGCAGAGCCATAAAGCGGGAAGCGATGCTGGAAGGACGCAGCAAAACCAGCCATTTCAGGAAAATTGGAGTCCTCGAGGTGCCACGGCAGAAGGGTTCCCAAGACGGGGCATTAGATGCTGCAACCGYGATCCGGGTGCCGAGAGCACCTGGGACACAGGGACAAAACAGAGCACGCATGGAAAAAACACTGTAAAACAGGATTTTGGTCAATCGCTTGGATCAGGTTGCATGAARCAGTTCTTCCTCACGGGGAATTCTCCCTTCCTTTCTGCCTGCTCTGAGGAGCAGCAGAGCTGCAGTGAGGGACCATCGGAACCAGCCTGGGCCCAGCCTGCCAGCCACCTTCTGCACAATTAAAAGGCTCCAATATTTCATCTATACGTTGACCAGCTGCCCTGGCAGCTGCTCCCCAGACCAGCACTGGGGTGGTTGCCAAGGTAGCCAAAAAACATATAGATTAAATATTAAAAGCCTTTTAATGGCACRAAAGGCCCTGACACTGCAGCCTCCCAGTTACACACAGATTCTTAACTTGCCCTTAATGAGGTGCGTATCAACAGGGAACACCCTTAGGTGACAGGCTTTATGTAAGTGTAGCCAGTAGGAAAACGTAGGGCCTCGGTCATCCAAAAGAGGCAGCACATGCTGCCCCCAACACACGTGGATGCAGCTGGAATCTGCCAAGGGACCTCGGGAAACCTCAGGGAAAAGGAGGTGCCGCCACCGCAGCCTCTCCTATGGAAGAGCAATCGGAACAGCTCCTGGAAGGGAGACAAGACCCTACCTGAACAACACATCTTCTGGCAACCGGCACGAGGAGCCACGTGTCCTCCTCATAGCTGCTCCAGGAGGGTGGGAACGACCTGACAACCCACGTGGCTTGGAGCTCAGAGCTGAGAAATCCACACGAACCACGTGGACCCTAAAGAAGTCGGAGTTTGGACTTTGTGGGTGGCGATGGAGACATTTGATGCGTTAGGTGATTTCCTTGGTGCTCCCCTCGTTCCTTGAAGAAGTGGCCGAGAAGACTAAGTTACGGGCAGGATTTTATATTAGAGCCCATCTTGATTGCAAAGCAGGTGCAACAGCACAGAACCAGCTCTTACAGGCTGCAGAAATGAGCACAAATTATATCACAAAACTGCTCAGAAATTACAATTTTCATTTTCAAGCCCATGGCCAGCAACTACGAATACCAATGCACTGATACAACGCAGAAACAGCAGCAGCGTTTGCCTGTTTCCTAAATAAAAGCTCAGACAAACCTCAGTCTGACTCACGGCCAGGATAAAAATAAGCAGAAGGTGACGCTTCCCACAGCGCTCAAAGCTCGATGCCCACAACTTAAAGTCGACTGCAGAAGTCTGGCATCAATCTAACTCTCTTTTTCTTGGCTGACATATTAGGCATCCATCTCTCCAAAATCAGCCTTCTGCCCCAGGTCCAGCTCCTTAAACTGTGCAGATCTGCAAGCAGGGAATTTTTGGAAGGCTCCAGGTGGAGGAAAATCCTGATCCATGTGAGCAAAACACCAAGGATGTGAGGCCTCTCATGCGAGGCTTGTTTTCCATCTGCAGCCTTCGAGCGAGCGGCTGCAAAGATCATTTTCCAAATGCTGCTCCCAACCCACCCGTCACTTGCTGGGGAAATAAAAAAAATCCAATGCGGCAGCAGCCTCTAAGTGGGAAAGCTGATACATCTGGGAAACAGGTCACGTTGGAGCGGGCATCAGTCACCGGCTCCCAAAATACGTCGTCAACAAAATATTCACTGCCGACACCATCCAGTTCCCAACACGAGCCTGATGGTTAGCAAAACCAGTATTGAAAATAACTGTGGGAATTGCAGGTTTTGATAGGGCAGGCTCACTCAGCAGGAGGACGGAAAAAAAATAAGCTAAAAATAACAGGATAAGCAAGGGTGGATCCTAACTGAGCCTTATTAGTCATGGAACGAAGGAGCGAGGCGCGGGCTGCCCGTGGGTTTCCAAGCAGCACCATATAAGAGCAAGARCAAGAGCAGGAACCTTGTTTCTTCAGTCATTCTTCTCCTCCTCTCGCCCATGCCTGGGGCGCTCTCCTTCGAGCAGGATGTGTCTGGAAACCTTCAGCTTTTACTCACAAAAGGCAGCGCGCTGCTTCCTGCRAGTGCTTGAAGTGACTCGCAGGTGACTCACTTGAGGGTGTCTGCTGGAACTGGATCAATATTGACCGAAAAGCACGTGGCTTCATTATCGCTTTCTCCTCACCCCATTTTTGTGTCAGAAACGGCACCTTCACGTAGCCTTTGGCTCGCGGGAGTCACCGATGTCATCCGTGGCCAGCACGGGGTGCCCAAGGCCCCAGGTTTGGGACGCAGCTGCG